GGGGAGGGCAGGTGGGGACTGTCTCCCAGCGGGGCCTGGTGAGGTAGTGATGGGGAGGAGGCAGGGCCAGGGACCTTCAGTGGAGCAGCTGTGGGGATCTGTCACAAGAGTCAGAGGGACAGAAAGAGTCAGATGAGCCTTGCCTCCCATCATTCCAAGACACTATGACCCCAGCCACCCTTCTCCACCTACACCACCCTACCCGACCCTCCATTTCTGCCTCTCCTTCCCTGAGGCAGGACCCCACTGCCACCACCACCTCCTTTCTCACCTCCCACCTCCCCAGGCCACCCCTCCATCCTCCCTTCACTGCACCTCTACCTGTCCCCACATGTCCCCCACCCCACTCTACCCTCTGATCACCCCCATAATGCTCCATGTGCACCCCCACCCCACAGCCAAAGGCAAGCCCTGTAGGGTATGCAGGTTGGCAGGGAAGCAATGGCAGGGCTGAGCAGGGAGGCAGGAGGAGCACAGCACAGGGAGGAGCCTGTGACGTCACAGACACCACTCAGGATGTGAGGCTGCTGGCCAGCAAGGGAGGCTGCGTGACCCATGGAAAAGGGGGGCATCTTAGATGCTGCATTTGAGCCCTGGGCTCCTTTCTATGCATCTGGAGCCTGTCTTGTGTCCAGGTGGCCCAGCTACGTGGACTACTACATGTGTGTGGCAATGGCACCCACTGCGTATTCTATAACAGCCGTCCAAGCTATGTGGGTCTAAGCCATAGGGCTTCACCCCTCAGGAGTGTCTTCCCCAAGAGTCACAACCACAGCAGGCACTAAGCAACCAGTGAGTGCCAGCTGTGTACCCAACACTGGGCTGGACTGTTGCACAGACCTGGCCACCTGCATTGGCTCATGGGATGTCTCATGCCTGGCTGGTTCCTACCCACTTCACAGATGGGAGATAGGAAGCAGAGGGCGAAAATGATAGCTGAGGAGGGAGCATGACACCAGGGAAAGGTGAGGCTCCCACTTTGCTCATGGTCTTGGCCTCAAAACCACACTGACTTTGGAACCCTCTGCATAAGACCCAGGACCATGGGCTAGTGAGATGGCTCACCAGGTAAAAGCATTTGCTGCCAAGTTTGATGACCTTGAGTTCAATCCCTGGGTCCCACACGGTGGAAGGAGACAACCAAATCCTCCAAGTTTTCCTTTGATCTACGCGCATAATCTGGGCACATGCACACTGTGCCCTCTCCCGCACCCCGCCCCCCGACACACACAGACCTAGAACCAGACATCTCAAGAACCCCCTTGCTGTACAGGAGAGGCACTTGGCAGCTTGGGATTCTTGCCTGGGTCTCAGCATGCTGTCACTCATCCAGGTATCTGGTCTCTAAGCCTGGGACCCTCTGAGCAATTCAAGCTCAGCCTCGAATAAACTCTGACAATTAAGATGCAAAACACCCGAAACAAACTGGAACAATCAGTCAATCAGTCTAGACACCCCAAACTTCCAGCCTAAGCAGAGGACAGATGAGCAGCCCTGGGCTTTCTACACAGTGAATGGGACTGTCCCCTGACAACCCCACAGAAGGCAGCTGTGGGGACTCCAAAGGGTCATGACCTTGGGGAAGTGGCTCAGTTGGTAGTGTCCACCTAGCATGCACAAAGCCCTGGGTTCCATCCCAACATGGCATAAACCTGGCATGGTGGTGCATGCCTGGGATCCTAGCACTGGGATGGTGGAGACAGGAGGATCAGAAGTTTAAGATTATCCTTGGCTACATGAGGCCAACCTGGTCTACCTGGGAGCTTACCTAAAACAAAAAAGGGGTCATGACCTTGAACTTATAGTAAAATGTGCTTCACTTTTTATTTATTTATTTATTTATTCATTCATTCACTCATTCATTCATTCATTCATTTATTTTTTTGGTCTTTTTGAAACAGGGTCTCCCTGTAGCCCCAGCTGTCCTGGAACTCACTATGTAGAATAGGCTGGCCTTGAACTCACAGAGATCCCCCTGCCTCTGCCTCCCGAGTGCTGGGATCAAAGACGTGCACCACAACACCCAGCTTCACTTTTAAATTTTTTAAAGAGAAAAAGGGAGTGGGAGTACAACTCAGCTACCAATTCAGCTACCAAGCTGGTGCCTAGAACGCATGAGGCCCTGGGTTCTATGCCCAGCATTGGGAGGGGAGAAGTTAGAGTGAAAAAGTGTTGGAGGTATTGAAGGAGAATCACAATGCCAGCCTGGGCTATATAGTGCGTTCAAGGTTAGCTTATACAGTTTATAGAGACTCACTAAAAGGACTGGGGCTATGGCTCAGAGGTAGAGCACCTGCCATGCCCAGCATGCATGGGGCCCTGGATTCAATCCCAAGCATCAATGGGGGATGGCAAAGAAGAAAAAAAGACTATCCCAGCCCCTGCTCACAGGGATATCCACTGTGGCCGTATTTACAACAGGCAAAACAGGACAATCCAGTAAGAATCTTAGTGCTAAGAAAGCCCAGCCCACGCCACTACCCTAGATGATTTTGCAGTCAGTGGCCACAAGAAGGCACTCGAGAGCTAAGTGAAATAAGATTATTACAGCCTGAACAAGTGGTTAAGGTGGCTTATAAGGGAAGACGGGATGGCTCAGCTGGTAAAGGTGCCTGTGGCCAACTCCTGGGACCCACATGCGAGAAGGAGAAAACAGAGTCCCTCTGATTGTCTTCTGGCCTCATACATAAAGGACTTGAAAGATGCCTCAGTGGTTAAGAGCACTGGCTGCTCTTGCAGAGGACTAGGGTTTGATTCCCAGCACCCACATGCTGGCTAACAACTGTCCTAATTCCAGTTCCAGGGGATCTGACACCCTCTTCTGACATCCATGGACATTGCACAACACAGGTGTACTTATGTACATGTAGGCAACACACTCATAGACATAAAAATAAAAATAATAAAGTATTTTAAATAAAAAGAAATAACAAAAGAAAGAAAAAGTTGGGGGCTGGAGAGATGCTCAGTGGTTAAGAACACTGACTAACTTTACATAATAGAACTAACACAAATGACAGAATGTATGAACTCCAGTGGGGGTGGGGGCGGCTATGGGAGGTGCCAAAGGGGAAGGGGAGGGAGTACAAAGATGATTTTATGTATAAAATACACAAAAATTCAATAAACACACACACACACACACACACACACACACACACACACACACACACACACACACCGTCTGTACTTGTAGAGTACCCAAGCTGGGTTCCCAGCACCTACATGGGAAAACCATCATTCACTCCAGTTCCAGAGGGTCTATACCCTCTTCTGGCCTCCACAGGCAGTGCATCCATGAGTGCACTTACATAACATGCAGAACAAAATACTCATATACATAAAATATAAATAAATAAATAAATAAATAATATTTTAAATAACGGGGCTGGAGAGATGGCTCAGCAGTTAAGAACACTGGCTGCTCTTGCAGAGGACCCAGGTTTGATTCTCAGCACCCACATCATGGCTAACAACCTGAAACTCCAGTTCCAGGGACTCCAACGCCCTCTTCTGACCTCCTTGGGCATTGCAGACACAGGTGCACTACATATATGCAGACAATATACTCATACAAGCAAAATTAAAATAATAAAAAAATTGTAAAAATATTTTAGATAAGTAAACATGATTATGAAACTGGGTCAGATAACTGTACTGTGTCCACTCTAAATTTGCTACCTTTCTAACAATGCAATGTGAATTTTTGTTGTTTCTGAGACAGGCCTTACTATATACCTGGGGTTAGTCTCAAACACAGAACAATCCTCCTGCCTCAGCCTCCCTACTGCTGCAATTACAGATGTACACCACCACATCTGGCTAGTAAGATGGTTAAGTCAGAGGTTTGTTTCTTCTTCCCCAGGGCTGCAATACCGTACTAAGATCTTGGGAGTACCTAGGACAACCTAGGGGCAAGGGACTCATTGGGGAAAATGTGTACATAGGGTTAGTGCTAAGTAAACATTAAGAGAGACTGACAGTGCTGAATGTGGTGTGGTACCAGCCTCAAGACACACCATCATCTCCCTGTATTCAGTCCACATCTTACCAGGACTGATTTCCTTGACAAAGGCATTCTATTGAAGTGAGCGTTATGTCACTTCTGGGACTAGGTTATAAGGAGGGCTGAGCCTACTCTCCAGTTCTGCGGCTCATCTGCTGTGGGGAAGCCAACTGTGGCATGCTGTGACCTGTTCCTTTGGAGGCCCACACAAGGAAGACTGAGGCCATCTGCCAACTGCCACATGCCTGGGCTGAGAATCAGGCTCAACAGCCTCCACAAGCCTTCTCATGACTGCAGCCCTGCCCAGCATCTTGTTTTGTTTTGAAATAGAGTCTTAAGGAGCCAGGCAGGCGGGGAACTTGCTATGTAGAATGGGATGGCCTCAAGCGCCCTAGAGATCCATCTGCTGGGATTAAAGGTGTGCACCACCACACCCGCCTTGCTTTATGGTTTTTTGTTTTGTTTTTTTTTTGAGACAGTTTCATGTAGCCCAGGCTAGCCTGGAACTCACTATGAAGCCCAGGATGAATCTGAATTCCTGCTCTTCCTGCCTCATCCTCCCAAGTGGTGAGATTGCTGTTATGCACCACCACACCCAGCTGCCTGAGAGCTCTCAGTGTGGCCAGCTGTGCTGGTTAGCTTCCGTTGTCAGCCTGACACTGGGAAGAGGGACCCTCAGATTGGGGGATTTCCTCTATAAGATCAGCCTATGGGGGTGTCTGAAGCATTTTCTTGATTACTGAGTCATGTCAGAGGGCCCCACCCTCTATAGGCATGGGTGGTGCCACCCTTGGACAGGTGGTCCTAAATTGTACAAGAAAGCAGGTTGAGCTGGGCGTGGTGGTGCACGCCTTTAATCCTAGCACTTGGGAGGCAGAGGCAGGAGGATCTCTGTGAATTCAAGGCCAGCCTAGTCTACATAGTGAGTGCCAGGTAAGCTGGGGCTAGAGCAAGTGTTTCCTCATGGTCTGTGCTCCAGGTTCCTGCCCAGAGTTTCCACCCTGTCTTCTCTCCATGATGAACTGTAAGCTGAAGGTGGAAAAACCCTTTCCTCCCCACACTGATTTTGATCAGTGTTTTATCACAGAACTAGAAGGTAACTAGGACACCAGCCCAGAGGTAAGGACCCAGTGTACATGAATTTATGTGTCATCCTCACTTGAGAGGTAAGGAAACTGACATACGTTTAAATAAGCCATTTGCCTAAGATCACAGAGTCCCCTCTTTGTCTGGTGGCACAATTCTTTTGGACTATAGTTTGTCAACTGCCACACACTTGCCAACTAGGGATGGCTCAAGTGACACTGGTAGGTTGTGACTAGCATTTAAGAAGTACAAAGGGTTGGAGCTGGAGAGATGGCTCAGCGGTTAAGAACACTGGCTGTTTTTGCAGAGGGCCTGGGTTCGAATCCCAGCACCAACATGGCAGTTAACAACTGTCCATAACTCCAGTTTCAGGGGATCTGACAGCCTCTTCTGACCTCCTCGGGCACTGCATGACACGGGTGCACTTACCTACAAGCAGGCATAACATTCATACATATAAAATAAAAATAATAAATAAAATATTAAAAAAAAAAAGAAGTACAAAGGGAGCTGGAGATGTAGCTCAGTAGGCAGAGTGCTTGCCTGGCATGCAGGCAGCCCCGGGTCTGGTCCCCAGAACTGCATAAACTGGAGGTAGTGGCACACAGCTGTAACCCTAGCACTTGGGAGGTGGAGGCAGGAGGATCAAAAGTTCAAGATCATCCTCAACTACATAGAGTTCATGGTCAGCCTGGGCTGCATGAGGCTTTGTTTAAATAAAAAAGCACCCAGGGGCAGCTAGGCATGGTGGTGCCTTCTGTCATCCCAACACTTGAAAGTCACTTGCAGGAGAATTGCACGTTTCAAGCCAGCCAGGGCTAAAGAGTAAGATACTCTCTAAAATCAAAAATAAGAAACTGTGTTTCTCAAGCTGGGTGCTTGTCCCCGCAAGGGACATGTAGCTGAGCACCAATCCACCCACCCATCCATCTGCCTGCTCATCCAAACGCGAGAGCCAACTGTCATGCCAAGTCCTACAGAGGCCAAGCTCTGTACAGGGCGGTGGCCCCCAGGCCCACCGCAAGGGTTCCAAACCATGCCTCTGTGAGCTGCATGCCACAGGCAGGGATTGAGGGCCAACATAGTCTTAAGATCTCAGTTGAAAGTGGACATGGTGGTGCTAGACTGTGATCCTAGCACACTGGAGGTAGAGGTGGGAGGACCAGGAGGACTCAGGGCCTCCTGCATGCTAGGCGAGCATCCTACCAACTGAGTCACAGCTCAGCCCTATGCATCAGTTTTGAAAGTGTATCAGTTTACACTGACAATGGAAAGTCAGTACTGGGTAAACTGGTCATCTCAGGAAAGAATCCAGCACATGGTGGGTGCTCAGCCAATACCCATCAATCAGGGCTCAAAGTTGCACTCACCTAGCTGTCACCTGTGAGCCAGCAGGAGGAGCTCACATATGGGACAACAGGATCAGAGAGGCAGTCACCTGAAATAGGACCGGGCCTGGGGCTGACTGACTCTACAACCACTTCTGACTTCTGACTCTCAGAGCTGGGGGAGGAAGACTCCTCACACACAGGCCATGCCCTGCACCTCCTTGTCTTTCCCCGAGTGGACATAATATACCCTCGGCCCTCTGACAACCTTGTGCTAGCTGCATGGCCTTCCCCACAACAGCTGCAGGTACAGACAAGAACAGACACAAACAAGTGCCTACTGTGTGCCCTCCACGCATCAGCTCACAGACTCTAACTAAGACTCCCACCCACCCTACCCTAATATCTAGAAGAAACAGGTTGCTCAAGGTGACACGGCAGGTGGTCTGTCTATAAAATCATGGCTGTTCAAGGCATGTTCATGATTTCTGCCATCCTGGCCCTTGCTGATGTGATCTGTTCCTCTTTTTACTTCTCCTCAGGTCTTTTTTGAATAAGTAAAAGATCCACTCCACCAGAATAGAAGGGAACCCTGCCCTGAATTCTCAGGTTTAAGACTCACAAGACCAAAGACTCATTTCCTCTCAAGTAAAGAGTGTCAAAAACCGGGTATGGTGGTACAAGTCTTTAATCCCAGCACCCCAGAAGCAGAAGCAGGTTGATCTCTGTGCCATCAAGGCCAGCCTGATCTACATAGTGAGTTCTAGTCAAGCTGGAGTTACACAGTGAGAACCTGTCTCAAAACAAAACAAACACAAAAGAATAACAATTAGAGTCAGTCTCAAGGATGTGACTCTCGGTAGGCTAAGCATGCTCCAGTGGACAGACCCACAATGAAGGGCATTTGGGGGAGACAAATTGGATTCTCTCTATGTAAATAAAATAAAGCAGGGCAGGGCGGCACATGCCTTTAATCCCAGCACTCGGGAGACAGAAGCAGGTGGATCTCTGAGTTTGAGGCTAGCCTGGTCCACAAAGTGAGTTCCAGGCCAGCTGGGGCTACTGGGAGACCCTGTCTCAAAAATACTAAATTAAAAATAAATAAATAAATAATAAATAATGGTGTTATGCTTGTGTAATAATAAATAAATAAATAAATAAATAAATAAATAAATAAATAAATAGAGTACCGGGTGGGGAAGAGTAAGGGGAGGTAGGGAAAGGAGGGGATCTAAATACGATAAAAATATATTGTATGAAAATAGCAAAAATTGAAAAAAGGAGAAGTATCAACAAATCAGTAAGACAGTGACCAAGAACCCAAAGCTGAAAATGGCCAAGGATATAAACAGTTTCATGGAAAAAATGACTCTTAATACATGAAAATGTGTCTTATCTCTCACAATGAAAGAAGCGTGACTTAAAACAGCACAAAGCACCATTTTCGCCTGTCAGACAGGCTCTTCAATACATCGGCGAGGCTGGTGGAAAGAGGCCCACGTTGCGCTGCTGATAAAGCTTAACCAACTGATGCTCCACAGAGGGCAGCTTGGAGATCACAAATATAAAGCCATATGGCTTTAGAGTCAGAAACCTTTCAAAGAACTTATTCCCAGCCATGCATGCTGGTATAGACTTCTATCGCCAGCTACTTGGGAAGCTGAGACAGAAAGACAAGTCAAAGGCTTAACCAGGCAACTTAGCAGTATTCTGTCTCAAAATAAAATTTTTCAGAGGGGGTGAAAGAGATGAATCAGGGTTAGAAGCTCTTGCTGCTCTTCCGGAGAAACTAAGTTCATTTCTGAGCACGTACATATGGTAGAGCATAGTGCCCACTAACTCCAGATCCAAGGGGTTCAACACCCTCTTCTGGCTTCCGCAGGCACCAGTATATACTCACACATGCACATGAATAAAAATATATTTAAAGCATTTTCAAAGGGCTGATTATCTGGTTCAATGGTAAGTGCTTACCTAGAAACTCCCAGTAAGCACTAGGGGTGTGGCTCAGTGGTAGAGCACGTGCCTAGCATACACAAAGTCCTGAGTTCAATCCCTTGACCACAAAATTACAATAATTTACCCTGCAAAATGCCATCCATACTAAGTACATGCAACCTTGCCCACAAGAACAGGATGACTTTAGAAGGCCAAGGACTGACTAGAGAAATGTCCCATCCACTTAACAGGCTCAACCCACTGCACAGCTGTGTGAAAGGAATGAAGAGCAGCCTCCAAGGCCAAGTTAAAGGACAGAAGCAAGGTGTAAACCCATAGGCAGCGCCTGCTGTCACATACAACACTGGAGAGCAGACTACGCACATGTGCAGTTGCTCATGCACACAGTGAACAGAAACAGAAGAGCTTTGCTCAGGAGGGACTGAGAAGTCTTCAGTATGGTTCATTTGGTTGTTGGGACAGAATCTCATGTAGCTCAGGCTGGCCTCCAACTCCCTATGTAGCTGAAGATGACCCTTAACTTCTGATCCTCCCGCCTCCATCTCCTCAGGGCTGGGGTTACAGACAGGCACCACCACACCTGACTTTTGTATGTTTGAACTGCAAAAGAACTGAGTGCTTCCCAGTACGGTTAGCTCCCATCCCACTGTGTCCTGTGCCCCTGCCTAGACCTGGGCTCCCATGAGCTGGCCCTGGTCTCAAGCGTGCACTGTGGCCAGGAGTCTCAGGGAACAAAGGAGTGGGTGACAAAGGACAGAGCGTTTCCCAAGGCAGCAGGACAGGCAGGCAGGACAGAGCGGGGAGGAGGGCCAAAGCTGCCGGGTGTTTCTACCTGGGGGGCCGGAGCCGGGGAAGCCTGGCTATCAGGAGTCTGAGCGCCGAGGCCAGCTCCTTTGGCGACAGGTGTGGCCAGGGCTGGGTCTTGGGCAGGAGGTGGGGCGCTGACTATGACCGAGGCAGGCACCGAGAGGTGGGGACCCTCTGTAGAGAGGGGCTGCTGGCTCCTCTCCTGCAAGGGGCGACCCACACAGGGTCAGAAGGCCCCCAGAGGCCATGGGCTCCCACCTGAGTCTGCCACCCCCACTGATGCTCATGGATATCTGAACACCCAGGTGCTGAGCAGGCACACCTCAGAACTTTTGTCTACTCTGAGCTCAGCCCCACCACCTCTATCCACTCTCCTTAGAGTCACAGCTATTTGTCCATCCATGTCTTGTCCCTCTCTCTGAGATCCCTCTGCTTGTCTGTCAGATGACCTAAAAGGTGTTTGTCAGTCAGTCATCCTCGAGTCCATCAATCAGCCCTTCCCCTTGTCCAGCCCTTAGTCTGCCAGTCCCATCTCTTGTTTAACAATCTGCTCATCTGTCTGCCTTATGGGCTTCCTGTCCCTAACCCTGAGATCGCCCTGTAGCTGCCACTCAGCCCTTCCCTCTCCCCCTCCCTCCCCTGTACCTGGGGCAGGAACATCTGGAGGGAATCCTGAGTGAGGATGGCCGTGGTGGCCGCAGAGGATGGCTGCCCCAAGATGATCTTCTCTGGGCTGGATGCCAGGCCTGGGCTGGCCTGGGGCGGGGTGGCCTGAGGCTGGTTGGCTGCCTGTGGAGTGGGGGCCTGCGAAGACTGCTGTGTCTGTGGCTGCTGGAGACCCAAGGGCAGTGGTGTGGTGACAGCAGGCGGCACCGGGGCGGTGGGCTGCACTGCCAGGATGGGCGTGGCTTCCCCTGTGGAGGCAGCTGGGGCCGGGGGCTGGACCAACCCTTCTGGGGCATTGAGCATGGCCACTGCACTGGGAGGCAGGGTGACGCCCTGAAGGACCGTGGTGGCTGTGGGGCCAGAGGGGGTTGGCTGGCTCTGGGTGGGCAGGCTGCTGGTGGCCAGTGTCACAGGCATTTGGAAGAGTGCAGGCTGGCCCACCTGGATAGGGGCAGCAGAGAGGATGTGTGCAGCACTGTGTGCTCCAGAGTGGGGTGCCAGCACAGGACCCAGACTCAGTGGGCCTGCCAGATTCTGGTTGGTGAGGATTGGGTTTGCGATGAGCTGTCCACCTGCATGGGGTGCTGCGGCTGTGAGGATCTGGCCACCCACGTTGGCAGGAAGGGCAGAGAGTGGTTGGGGGAGCTGCACAGCCGGAGTGCCCGGCAGCAGGAACTGGTTCTGGCCCTGCAGCATGTGCTGGGCTGGAATGACAATGCTGCTGCCTTGATTGAGGAGGTGGACACTCATGGGCTTGCTGAGGGCTCCAGGGGGCTGTGGCGGGGCTGTCCCTGAAGAGGTGACTGGTGGCTGCTTGAACACGTTGGCCTGTAAGGCTGGTGCCGGGAAGCCAGACAGCACCACATTCTGGCCAGCCTTGCCTGCCGCCATGAAAGTCAGGTTCTGGGGGGCTTTGGGCTGCTGAGGGAGGGTGCCTGGCTCTCCCTGGATGGTGAGGGTGGCCCCTGTGGGGGCGAAGGGCTTGGGTGTCAGCTGGTAGAGTTTGGGGGGCAGGACCCCTGCAGGTTTGGGCTGGATGGGCGTGGGGGTTCGATGCAAGATCACACTGGGTGCTTGTACCAGTGGTGATGTGCCGAGGCCAGGGGCCACTGCCAGAGGCTGTCCCGAGGGTGCCCCACTGGCCACTGCGGTGGCAGCCCCTGTCCCGGCGAACACTGAGTTCCCATTGAGTGTGGTGGTCACCGCAGCTGGGAGGGTCTTCTGGATGACCAGTCCGGCCCCCTGGGGGGACACACCTGCGGATGCCAATGTCACTGGCTCTGAGGGACCGGCTGCTGAGGCCAGGTAGCCACTGACAGGCACCTGCTTGGCCAGAAGCTGGGAGGTGGGTGGGTTGAGGGCCATGACGGGCTGGCCTACTACTTGGATAGGTGCCAGACCCAGGGTGGCTGCTGTAGCACCCCCAGGACTTCCATTGGGCAGGCCCTGGAGGCCAGGGATGGGCTGCAGAGTCACGTTGCCCAGGCCCACTGGCTGCAGGAAGGGCTGGACGCTTAGGGCCTTGTTGACCACATCTTGGGGCGGCACCAGGGCCTGGTGGGTCAGTACGGTGGGTGGGGCCTGCAGACCTAGCAGATCACCACCGCCTGGGAAAAGGGCCTGGGTTCCTGCAGCCACCGCAGCTGCCCCTGCGGCACCAGTTGCTCCAGCCCCACCGTCAGCAGGCTGTAAGGTGGGCAGCTGGAAGGGACCCAGGTCCAGTTCAGCCTCTGCCTCCAAAGTCTGCTCTGTGATGTTGGCCTCCTGGAGACTCTGCTGAAGGATGTCACAGGGCTGGTCTGCGCTCCCGCCGCCCCCGCCCCCGCCTCCTGTCGCAGGCGAGCCCAGAATATCATCTTCTAAGAAGTCCAGGTCCACACTAGGGGCAGGCTGGCTGGGTTCTGGGTTCAGGTGGTTGCCAGAACTTTCTTGCACGTGGAGCTGGAGGTCAGGGAAGAGAGAAGGTAAGTGCTGAGGTCAGCAAAGGGACACTTGGGGTCAATCTACCAAGATCAAAAACATTCTATCTGGGAGCAGCTGGATGCAGAACCAAACCCTGGCATGGTCATGGGCTTGACTATGCAATCTAGGTATTGCTTAATCTTACCTCAGTTTCCCCATCTACACCTATCAGTAGAAGGCAATAAAAATATTGGGAGAGGGTCTGAGGAGATGGCTCAGTGGGCTATAGCACTTGCTGCATAAACCTCACAACCCTCAAATCCCAATCCCCCGGTAGAAAGAGAAGGAAATTCCTGAAAACTGTCCTCTGACATGCCTGTACCCCTACTCACACACACACATCACTCACACACATGAATCATATACACCATAATAATAAAGTAAAACATATGCACATATTTTTAAAAACAGTCACAGAGGGCCAGCAAACCTGCTAAGCGGGAAGAGGTACGGGCATGCTGACTTAACAACATGAACGACATCCTTGGAACTCACAAAATAGCAGCAGAGAACTGACTCCTGAGAGTTGTCCTCTGACTTCAACACGTACGACATGGCACATTCCCCCCTGCACATGCATGTGCATATGCAGATACATGCAACTAAAATTTAAATAGGCACAGAGACCCACAGTATGTACTTATGACTCTGGTACCCAAAAAAGATGCAAGTGTTTGTTCTTCCCTGAAACAGAGTCTCATGTAGCCTAGGCTAGCCTCAAGAAGACTACCTAGTCCAGGTTGACCTTTTGCTTGCTCAAACTAGCCTAGAACTCACTAGGTAGTCTAGGCTGGCCTCAGCTAACTCTATAGACAAGGATGACTTTGAACTCCTATTTCTCCTGCATCCTGTTCCTGCTGGGATCACAGGCCTGCATCACCACGCCCAGCTGTTTAACTTCTGTGAGAGCAAACTTTCCCAGGTGCTCTGGGTGATACACATGTCATGGCATAATGACTCAGGCCCACCCTCAAGAGTCAGCATAAGGCTAAGAATGTCACGTCATCTATGACACACACACAAAACCCTCTTAGCTCCAAGTTAGAGACAGGAGTTGGGGAAAAGACAGGCCACAACCTGGCAGCTGCCACCTGGAAGCCAAGGTGCTACCCCACTGGGAGTTCAACACTCCCTTTCTCTGGGGCAGTGACCCTCGATGCGCACAGCTAAACAAGCACATGGCCCGGAGTGCCACAGGCTGCACTCAGGCTTGAGACCTGCCAACTTCTTTGATCTCTGACCAGGTGACATCAAAATCTATAGTTTGAAAGACCCCTCAGGGGGCTGGAGAGATGGCTCAGTGGTTAAGAACACTGGCTATCCTTGCAGAAGACCTGGGTTCGAATCCCAGCACCCACATGGCAGCTAACAACTGTCCGTAATTCCAGTTCCAGAGGATCCAACAACCTCTTCTGTCCTCAATGGGTATTGCACAACACGGATGCACTCACCTACATGCAGGCAGTGCACACATAGACATAAAAAAATAAAAAGATTTATTTAAAAAAATAAAAAAACCAGAGTTGAGGCTAGGCATGTGTCTCAGTTGGTAGTGGGTGCCTGGCCTGCACAAACATGGGTTCCATCACCAGCACCAGCATGTTGGGATTGTGGTGGTGCACATCTGTCACCCCAACACCTGGGAGGTGGAAGCAAAAAGACCAGAAGTTCAAGGTCATCCTCAGCTACACAGGGAGTTCACAACCAGCTGGGGCTACATGAGCCCTTGCCTCAGAAAACCAAAATGAATCAATTTCAACAAAGGTCATGAAAGAATAAAGATACAGGGTGGTCACTGCTGTAACTGGGTCTCTAAATCTAAGAGGCAGGTGGATCTCTGCAAATTCTAGGCAAGCCTGGTCTTGTAGTGAGTTCCAGGCCAGCCAGGACTACATAGAGAGATCCTGCCTAAAAATAAATGAATAAATAAACAAACAAACAAATAAAAAAAAAATAAGGTGTGTGTTGGGTAGCTTTAGTGTCAACTTGACATACCTGGGTAGAGGGAGCCTCAATTGGGGAATTGCCTCCATTGGACTGGCCTATGGCCATGTCTGAGGGTCATCTTCTTGATGAGTGATGTGGGAGGGCCCAGCCCACTGTGGGTGATGCCACCCCTGAGCAGGTGGGCCTGTGTTACATAAGAAAGCAGGCTGAGCAGGGAAGGGCCAGGGGAGCAAGCCAGTAAGCAGCGATCCTCTGTGGCCTGTGCTCCAGCTCCTGCCTCCAGGTTCCTGTCCTGAGTGCCTACCTTGGGCTCCCTGATGAACTGTACCGAGATGTAAGTTGACTAAACCCTTTCCTCCCCCAAGTTGGTATTGGTCAGAGGGTTTTGTCACAGCAATTGAAGGATAACTAGAACAAGGTGGGTTACCAGCCTGTAATCCCAGTGCTGGGGAGGCAGACAGGTAGGTCCCTGTCACTTGCTGGTCAGTCAGCCCAGTTCACATGTTCCAGGACAGTGAGTCTGAGATCCTGTCTCAAAAACAGCTGGATGACCCCTGAGCAGTGACATCACCCAAGGTTGGCCTCTGGCTGGCCTCTACATGTACAAACATGCCCTTACACAGACACACAGAAACACATGAAAAGAGGGAAGTTAGGGTACATAGTACACAAAATCAGATATACAGTAGATGCTCAAGGCTGTCTACACCACCCCATGAGCACTTTCCCAGTGGATCTGTAGTCTGCAGGTGAGACACATCTCCCCCAGGATCACCAGAGCTGGCCTCTGTCCCTTTCTGCCCAGGAAGCATGGTGGAGGGGCACAATCCCCTGAACCCCGGCTGTTCTCAGTGAAGCACCCCCTCCAGCATGTCCGGGCTTTCCCTCCAGCCTCCCTCCTGCTGGGACAGTAGGGTGATGACTGATGGGCAGCCACTTACCCCTGGACCTTCATAGAAGGTACTTTGGGCCTCCACAGGGGCATCCAGGAGGTCATCACTGTCCAGCTGCAATGAGACCCCCCCAAGGTCAAAGGTCATCAGGGAAGGTGCACGTACTAAGCAGAAACCTTAGGGTTATTATTTGGGACAAAAAGAGCAGGGTGTGTGTGTGGGGGGGTGGGATGGGACACATGAGTCTGCCCCAGAAAACAGGGCTGGTGACATGCTGGCCTCTCAAGCATCTCCAGTCAATGCCAGTCTCCTGCCTGGCCTCTGATGCCCCCAGATATGGAGCTTGGGATTCCAGCTGTTGCCCAAACTGTCACAATCCCTCTGGCAGCATACATACTCTTCAGGGCTGGTGGCAATGCCACCTGCCCCAGGGACCCCCCCCCACTCCCACCTCCCCTGTCCAAGCATCCAACACACCACAGTGTGCCTACCATTAGGAGGGGAGGACTGGCTCTGAGTCCTGGAAATCTTGGTGTCTGAACTGACCCTGATGTCCATATGTATCTCTCTGAGACTGAGGCTACCCTAAATTCTCTCAGCTGGAGGTCTCCAGAAGCCCAGGTGTTTCTAACAATCCATTTGGAATTCTGGAGATTGGCCCAAATTCCCAATCTCAGCATCAGAGTCCACTCAGTCGCACAGGCCAAATCTACCATTTAACCCAGGCCCTCTCAGTCCTTGGATCTCCGTGAAACAGGTCTAGATGAAACCAGATTTAAAACAAATCCTATGATAGTTAACTTTGTCAACTAGACACAGACTAGAATCACCTGAGTCTCATGAAGGACTGTCTAAATTGGGTTGGCTTATGGGCATATCTCTGGGGGGACTGTCTGAAGGAAGTTAAATGGGAAGACAGCCCACTGTGGGTGGTACCATTTTCTAAGCAGGGCCTCCTGAACTGCGTGTAAGAATGGAGGAAATCGAGCTGAGCACAGGCCAGAGTGCATGCATGCACCTCTCTCTGCTCCTGACTGTGGATGTGTGGTTACCAGCTGCTTCAAGTTCCTGCCACTGTCCCTCCCTGCAAAGATGGACTGAACTTGGAATTGTAAGTTGAGATAAACACCTTTCTCCCCTAAGTGGCTTGTTGTCAGGTTATCCCCGCAACAGACATGAAACTAAGTCAAATCCCAGGCTGAGGGCCTCACACCCCTTTCCTGTAGACAGTGCAGCCCAAGCCACCACCCACTGCACTCTCCAGGGCAATACACTTTGATGCATCTTCTTTAAGAAGCAGAGCTCAGTTCTCCCATGAAGGGTGGGCTGGACTTAGGGGCTCCTTCCTCCTTCCTCCCTTGCTGTCTCCCTCCCTTCCATCCCTCCTCACAGTGTGAGTCGGACTGAACGGCTCTTCTCTCCTTCCCCCCTTTGCTCCCTTCCATCTCTGAGGCAGAATTTCATATAATCCAAACTGGCATCAAAGTTGCTACATAGTTGAACTTCTGATCCTCCAGCCTCTACTTCCTGAATGAATGCTAGGACTAGTGGAAAGCCACACCTCTTTTTATGTCATACTGGGGATGAACCCAGGGCTTTGTGCAAGCTAGATCGGCACTCCAAATGAGCCACATGCCTGGCTCTGAGCAGCTCCATTCTGGTGGCTACAAGCTGGAAGTGCCTGAGCGACTCAGGAGACCAGGTCATAAAAGATACCATGGCTTCCTCCTGGCTCTCTATCTTGGGTAGCCTGTGCCATGGGAGGCCAGCTGCCATGTCCTGAGGACATGTGAACAGCATGATAGAGAGGTGCACACAGGAAGAATGGGGGCCTCTTGCCAGCCATAGTGGACACATCCCAGCCCCAGACAAGCTGTCAGATGTCTGCAGGCCCTGCCACAGGTAGCACAAAACCTTGGGGCAAATCTGTGCATCAAGACCACCCAGCGGATTCCTGACTCTGATTCCCAACATGGCAATCTGTGAAAGCTTAACAGAGGTCCTGAGTCACTGCATGTACAATAATCCCTTACATATGAATACTGAGCTGGGTGTGGTGGTGCATGCCTCTAGTCCCAGCACTCAGGAGGCAGAGGCAGGTGGCTGTCTTTGAGACTGACTGTAGCCTGGTCTACATAGTGAGTTCCAGGTTAGTTCCTGTGGCTATAGAAATACCATGCCCAGACTGACAGGTCTCCCCACAGGGCTCCTGTCTCTGGGGCGCAAAGAGAATCTGCATTTTCTTACTAACCCCTGAGAACTGCTGTCAGGTTCAGAATAAAAATCAGCCAGGTGTGGTGGCATACTTTAATCCCAGCATTCAGAAACTCAGGGGTAGAGGCAGGCAGATCTCTGTGAGTTCAAGGCCAGCCAGAGGTACATTTTTATATTTCTCTCCAAGTATAAAAAAGAATAAAAATCAAAACAGCATGACCAGGTGTCAGTCCACCCAGTGTGACCTCATAGGAGCTTTGCCCTCAGGCTGACCCTGCCAGCCTTCTTTCTGTTCCTGACATGCCATCTCTCTCCCTTATCCACACTCTTATCCCTGCTAGAAGCTCTGTCACCTTTAATGTCACCTCACAGTGAGCATCTCTGACCATACACCACCAACTACAGGAAGCCTTCGCTTTCTTTTATGTCTCCTATTATTATTATTATTTGCGTGTGTGTGTGTGTGTGTGTGTGTGTGTGTGTGTGTGTGTGGTATATACACTCATGTATGCAGGGGCAGATGTGGAGGTCACAAAAGGACACCAGGTGTTAGGTGCTAGGCTGGTGATTGGCAAGTCCCAGTGATCCTCCTGTCTCTACCACCCAACAGAACTGGGTTTCTGGGTGTGCGTGGTCACGCTTGGAATTCTACATGGATGCTGGGGATTTGAACTCAGGTCTTCATGCTTGCACAGTAAGCACTCTTACCCACTGAGCCATCTCCTCAGCCCCTCCTATTCTTTTCTAGTAATTCTCTGCATGATACTTTTCATTAAAACCTTTACTGTTGATCAACTTTTATTTTTTAATCTTATATTTTAAGTGAATAAGCACATCCAAAATAGTACTGATTCAGGCCAGGCATGGCAGCGCATGCCTTTAATCCTAGCACTTGGGTGGCAGAGGCAGGCAGATCTCTGTGTGTTCAAGGCCAGCTTGGTCTACACAGTAAATTCCAGGCCAGATGGGGCTACAGGGAGACCCTGTCTCAAAAAAGACAAAACAACAACAAGAACAACAACAACAAAAAACAACAAAATAGTGTCACCAGGCATGGTAGTACACGCCTTTAGTCCCAGCACTAGGGAGGCAGATACAGGTGGATCTCTGTGAGTGAGTTCAAGGCCAGCCTGGTCTACGTAGTGAGTTCCAGGACAGCCGGGGTTACAGGGAGACCCTGTCTCAAAAAGACAAAAAAAAAAAAAAGTTTCAAAACTGAAAGTTTACTGAGATATTTTACATTCTGTTTAATGACTCTTCCGTGACCAGGGAGATGATACAGTGTGAGGGCAGGGACTAATGCTCTGTTTCACACATCAACATCATCCTCACAGAATGCCTGCTGCACCAGGAAATGTGGCTCTCACTGCCAATCCCATCTTCCAGCCCTGTACCCAAGGAACATCCCTCCCCATCTCTGGCACTTACCTTTTCGGATCCATGCAAGAAGTCATTGAGGGCCTGAGGGTCGCTGCAAGAGAGAGAAGAAAATGATCTTGAGGATGTGGGCAGAGAAGTGAGGAGGGAGTGTTTGAGAAGAGAGAGATTTGGGATGTAGGGGGTCGGGGGGGAGTCCTTTACTCACCAAATCACATCTAGTAAACATCTCCCATCCTCATCGTCCATCTCCACTGAACAGGGCGGGGTAGGGAAGAGAGTGAGGGAGACATGGTTAGACTGAGGCAGTCTGCCCTGCACCTCCCTTCAGGGCTGCACTGCCTGGAGGAGGGGGCCAGAGCTCCTGTTCCCTGAAGTGCACAGGGATGGGTAGGGGGAGATGATCACCACCCAGATACCTGACTAGGGATGTGATACTGTTCTTACCCTCCTGGCCTCATGCCCCCAACAACCCCACATCTGATGGTGACATCAACTGAGACTAAGGACCTCTGAGAGCAGGTGGTTCCTGTGCTAAGCACTGCAAGACAGGTTCAGTTAAATGAACAGATGCACCCTCCCTTTACAGGTAAGGAGTCAGAGGTGCCTATATGGCTACTCTTCATCTTCAGTGCTCCTGTCTCCAGGTACAAACAGAATCTACCATTTACCTACTCAATAACCCATGAGAGTCAGGCATGGTGGCACTTGCCTTTAATCCCCACACTCAGAAGGCAGAGGCAGTTCCAACCCAGCCTGCAATACAGAGCGGATGCCAAGCTAGCTAGAGCTATGTAGTGAGACCCTGTCTCAAAGGAAAAACTAAAATAAAAACTCAAACTGCTGTCAGCGTCTCCCACATGTCCATCACTGGGTGACTAAGGCCCACCCGGGCTCACATCTGTAGCGTCACCTTGAGCCTGCCAGCTTTCTCTCTGCATGCCCTAACCTGTGCCCTCCATCACCCCACTGGCCTGTTCCCTTGTTCACTGAACATAGCACCTGGCCCAGAGTCAGGGCATGGCAGACAAGGGGTCTGTCTTGTGCACAAGTGGGTGACAAAGCAAGCAAGGGATGGTCGGGTGGAGGCATCCCTTGTCATAGTCTGAGGTCCTAAATGTACCCTCAAAATCTATGCAGCATGGATCTCAAGTAAGGGATGGGTTGGGGGGAAATGAAAGGGAGGAGGGGAGGGTGATGAGGCTGGTACATTGAGCCAGAGGACTAGTAGTGCAGGGCTGGCTCTGTGGCTGAATGATAAGGATTCAAAAGAACTAATGTGTGTCAGACATTCGCACATATGTATACATATGTATAGGTGTGTATTATATTTTTTGCATGCATGCACGTGCATTTGTGTATGTATGTGTATCTAGTGTGTGCATGTGTATGGCATATGTGTGTATATGGTGTGTATGCTGTGCATGTTATATGTGTGTGATGTGTGTATGTAGTACGTGGAATGTATGCAGTGTGTGTGGTGTGGTGGGTATGTCGTGTCTGTGGATGTAGTATGTGTATGATGTGTGTATGTGTGCTAGAGGAACCTCAGATGTACTCCTAAGAAATAATATCCACCTCTTTGAGATGCTCTCACTGGCTTGGAGCTCCTGAGTTAGGCTAGGTTGGATTCTGGACAAGGAACCCAGGTCCTCTGGAGCACTTTACGAACAGATCCAGCTCTCTAGCACCATCTGACCTTCTAGACTGTCCTCCCTGCAGCTGGTACAGAGGCTCAGGCTGGACAGGGTGACCTGAAGAGGTCATTAAACTACCCAATATAAGTCAGAATTCTGGTGAGTCCCACTAGTACCCAGAGGAACTGCCTTTCCAGGAATGAACTGAGATTCTACCCTGTTACCTGTGCTACGAACGAATCATGAAGGGAAGGAGGGGGTGGCCGCTCCAGGTCTACGCTGGGCCCCCAGCTGGGGACTTGCAGAGTGTCCTTTTGGAGGCCAGCTGTGGAAGGAGAAGAGAGGCTGTGAGTGAGGAAGACTATGAGCAGAAAAAGATGGAGGTATGAGGATACAGACTGGGCTGTGGACAGAAAGGAAGGGTCCAAGAGATGGAAGAGAGGGAGTCTGGGAACAGCATGATTAAGCGACAAAGTGGGAGCCAGGTATGGTGGCACACGCCTTTAATCCTAGCACTCAGGAGCCAGAGGCAGGCAGATCTCTGTAACTTCAAGGCCAGCCTGGTCTACATAGTGAGTTCCAGGACAGCTGGGGCTACAGGGAGACCCTGTCTCAAAAAGACAAAAAAAAAAGTGACGAAGTGGGAGCCAGACATGGTGGCATGCATTATAATCCTGACACTTGAGAGGCTGAGGCAGGAGGATGAACAGTTGTAGTCAAGCCTGGGCTGCACAGCAAGACTCCATCTCTAAGCATCTTAAAAAGGAAACAAACACTATGGTTAAAGTGAATTAGAACACAACAGAAAATCACTATTAATGTCCTTCCATCCCAGGAAGACTCATAGGTGGATTCTAGGCAGGTGCTCTACCACTGAGCCCAGGCTGGCGTTGAGTTCACAAATCCTCCTATCTCAGTCTCTCCAGTGTCAGGATGGCCTTGTTCCACAAGGCCTGACCTACTGTTGAGCTTTAAAGGAGGTAGTGAGAAGGAGGGAGGAAAGTGGAGAAGAACCACTTTCAAGCTGCAGGAAGCACATTACAAATGACCATAAGCACAAGGTCTGTGGAGCGTGAGGTAGTTTGACAACATCCCCATAGGCCAGATGTTTGGACACTCAGTACTGAGCTGGGAGGTTCAGGAGGTGTGGCCTTGCTGGAGGATGTATGTCCTTGGGGACAAGCTGTGAGAGTTTATAGCCTCGACCCACTTGCAGTTCACTGGTGCCTCGAACAGGCACCATCCCCGTCCCTCCTGCCAGGCTGCTCTGCCATCATGGGCTCTCCCTCTGGAGCCATAAGCCCAACTAAACTTCTCCATATAAGTGGCTTTTGCTTACAGTATTTTAGCACAGCAACAAAAAGAAAATAATACATACTACCTCACAGAATACATTATACTAAGTAAGTTTACTGATTCTGCATTCTAATAAAATACACTCAATTCCATTTTTCTTTATTTTCTGTAGTAAGGAGATTGAACACAGATCCTTATATTTGGTAGGCAGGTGCTCTACCACCGAGCCACACCCCAGCCCCTCACTGGGGGATCTCCTTATATTTGGTAGGCAGGTGCTCTACCACCGAGCCACACCCCAGCCCCTCACTGGGGGATTCTAGGCAGGTGCTCTACCACTGAGCCACACCCCAGCCCCTCACTGGGGGATCCTAGGCAGGTGCTCTGCCACTGAGCCACATACCAAAACATCCATAGCCAATGATTTGAAGCAGGGGTGTTATGGCCTTTGTTTCTGTAGAAAGGTTCTTTATCTCAGATGTGTCATCTCTCCCCCAGTGAGCTCTTACTCTGATGAAGCTCCTCTCACACATGTACTTTCCTAGGAAGACACCCTTGTAGCTCTTTGCCTTGTGAGTAACACACTGCACTAGAGCCCAGAACTTCAAACCAGGAAATCACCAGTAAATAAAATCTCAGCAATGAAGCCAGAGACCATGGTGCATGAGTATGATTCCATCACCTCAGATGCAGAGGTGGGAGGATGGGAAGTTTGATTCCAGCCTAGGCTACATAGCAAGACCCTGTCCTAAAATATCTAGAAGGGCTGGCAAGAGGGCTTCCCACCAAAGGCGCTTGCCACCAAGTCCAATGACCTCAGATGGCCAGGATTCGCATGGTGGAAGGAGAGAAGAGATTCTGGCAAGCTGTTCTGTAACTTTCACATGCAAGCTAAGGCATGCATTCGACAACCCAAATCATTTTAAATTCAAAAGAAGGAAAAAAAAAAGCATCATTATGTGAATCATGTGGTCCTCATGTTTGTGAAAAGGAGTCTGGTTCTAGCACGAGCTGAGGCCAAGCATCAAGAACTCACGACATTTCTCCTGTCCACACACTTCCACAAACACAGAGAAGACCATGTCCTGTGGCAAGGAGGTGAATCTATATATGGAATCTATGAATAGGGGCAACTCACTGTCCTGATGACACTGATAAGCCACGTGGCCATGGTCACATCCAAGGCTGTGCCATGGGTCCAGTATGTGCCAGGTAATGTTTCTTTTTGTTTGGGATAAGTTTTTGGAGACAGGATTTTGTTATGCAGTCCAGGCTGGCCTCTAATTCACCATGTAGCTCAGGATGGACTTGAGCTTCTGGAGATCTTCCTGCTTCAGCCTCCCAAGTGCTGAGAATTACCTACCAGTGTGTGCCACTACACTCTGTTGGGCTCTGGCTTTAAGTATTCCAGTACATGAATTCAATTTTCCATCTAAAACTCACTATGCAGCCACAGATGACCTTGCCCCTACCTCTCCAGTGCTGAGATTACAGGTGTGCACCCCCATCTTGGTTTAGGTGGTGGTGGGGTTCAAACCCAGGGTTTTGGGCATGCTAGGTGCACTACTAACTGAGCCACAATCCCAGCGCTCTTGCTTTTGAAACCCCAAGACAGGTGCAATTCCATCATTGTCAGTCTGTTGATGCTGAGGCTCAGAGGGGGCTAGGAGCCTGTCTTATAGCCCTGGGTGATCCCAGCTGGAGAAGATCCCACCCTTAACCACTAGCAGTGTCCCCACCTTCCCTCTGTTGCTTCTAAGACAGGGGCAAATGTGGCAGGAGTGTTAAGATAATAGCCCCAGCTGGGTGACCTTTGAGTGAATTCACACAGGCTAGAGATATTTCAGATCTGAAATGGAAACAGAGTTCTAAGAACCAGGTTCCTCTCAGAAGGCTCTACACAGCACCTGGCGAAGACAGCTGGGCACAGGTCCTCTCCTCCTGGACTCCAAGTGTGAGGCCTGCTGATGTGAGGGGGCTACAGCAGCATGTTCCCAACTTCCCATGGTGGCTTCACCATCACTGTACTCCACCCTGCCTTCGGCTTCCAGTTTAGCTCAAGCATCGCAAACTTCCTACCAGCACAATGTTGGAGAGGCATATTGCAAACAGGGGTATCCAAGTAGGTAGGAACTGAGGGGAAGGCTCCTGAGTTCTCTGTGAAATGGGCTTCTTTTTGATTCTTTGGTATCTGTGTGTGTGTGGAGGTCAGAGGGCCACTTGCAGGAGTCAGTTCTCTCCTTCCACTATGTGTGTTTTGGGAAGGAAATCAGGTTATCAATCTTGGTGGAAAGCGTCTTAGCCATTGAGTCACATTGTTACCTGGTTTTGTTTTTTGTTTTCTTTAAAGATTAACTTTTATTTTATGTGTATGAGTATTTGTCTGCATGTATGTATGTGTATCACATGTGTGCAGAGTCCAAGGAGGCCAGAAGAGGGCATCAGATCACCTAGAATGTGAGTTGATGGTTATGAGCCAACATGCACATTTTGGGAATTGAACCTGTGTCCTCTGTAAGAGCAGCAAATGATCTCTACTGCTGAGCCATCTCTCCAGACTTTTTTTTTTTTTTTTTTTTTTTTAGTCAGGGTTATGCTGTATAGACTGAGGTGGCCTCAGACTAATGGCACTCTCCTGTCTCAGCCTTCCAAATGCTGGATTATAAGCATGTGCCACCGTGATGCCTGCCCCTTGCTATATTACCCAGGCTGGCCTCACCTTCTTGAGATGACAAGATCTTTCACACCTGACTCTTGAGAGCTTTGCCTTCATGTATATAACTCATGTGAGTTATATACAGTGTTCATGGTAAACAAAGCAGAGCCTGGAGTCAGCTCAGATGGAAAATGCTGGCCTTGTAATTAGGGGGTCTGGAGGCAGATGCCCTGTGCCCATGTGAAAAGTCATGTAATAGATAAGTGGTGCACACTTGTAATCCCAGCACTGGAGAGGCAAAGAGGCTCCCTGGGCTTGTTGGCCAGCCAACTTCACCAAATTCATGAGCTGCAGGTCCAGTGAGGGACTCTGTGTTAAAGGAAGCAGACAGTGTTACTGAGGACAACACCAGAGGTTCCACACACACTGCATAGAAACAAACACAAGTGTTGATTAAAAAAAAAAAAGAGGGGCTGGAGAGATGGCTCAGTGGTTAAGAGCACTGGATGCTCTTGCAGAGGATCTGGGTTCAGTGCTAACTGAACTTACATTGTGGCTAACAACCGTCAATAACTCCAGTTCCAAGGGAATATGATGCCCTCTTCTGGCCTTCGTGGACACTTGATACACAAATTTATTTATATACATACATGCAAACCATGTATACATGTAAAATAAAAAATAAACAATTTCTTTTTAGAGAAACAAAAAAGTGGGGTGTGTGGCACAGGTCTTTAATCCTAGCACTTGGGAGATAGAGGCAGGCCTCTGTGAGTTCTAGGTCAGCCTGGTCTACATAGTTTCAGGACAGCTGGGGCTACAGGGAGACCACATCTCAAAAAGACCAAAAAACAACAAAACCCCCAAAATCTACCTCCACTCTGTGAGGGGCCAGGGGCATGACTCAGTGGTAGAGCCCCTGCCTAAAATCCCCCAGGGAGGGGCTAGGGATGTGGCTCAGTGGTAGGGCATCTGCCTAGAATCCCCCAGTGAGGGGCTGGGGTGTGGCTCAGTAATAGAGCCCCTGCCTAGAATCCCCCAGTGAGGGGCTGGGGTGTGGCTCAGTGGTAGAGCCCCTGCCTAGAATCCCCCAGTGAGGGGCTAGGGATGTGGCTCAGTGGTAGAGCCCCTGCCTAGAATCTACCAATGAGGGGCTGTGAGTGTAGCTCAGTGATAGGAATTCAGTAGTTAAGTGTCTGGGGGCGTGGCTCAGCGTAGAGCAATTTTCTAGCATGCACAAGGACCCTGGGTTTAATCTCCAGAGAAAAAACACAAATGGCCACTAAGCACATAAAACAGTGCCTAGCATGAATCATCATCAGGGAAATGCACTGAAGCCCCTGAGAAGAGGCGGCCTCACACCTATCAGGAGG